TAACATTTGTGCAGTAACTATATCATTTGGACTACACATTATAATTTTCATTTGAGAGAGCAGATCTCGCCCCCAAAGGTTAACAGGTAGGTAAGGGATGACAAATGGCTTAATAAGGCCTGAATTGTTTTCTTTATCTGTGCATGTTAGGTACTTAGAACTTTGTTTAGGATTACTGCTTTGTCCAATTCCTCTCAAGTGAGTTAAAGTCTCTGTAGTAGGCCAATGAGAGGGCCAATCTTCCTGTTTAATGATAGTTACATCAGCCCCTGTGTCTATTAGTCCAGTGAATGCCCTCCCGTCTAACCATAAGGTTAGAGAGGGTTTTTGATTTGTAATTGGTTGCACCCAATATATGTCTGATGATCCGAAACCTTTTATATTTCTATTAGAGTGATGGATATTATTATTTGTTTTGACCAAAGGTAGCAGGATTAACTGAGCTATTCTAACTCCTTGAGGGACAGTAATAATACTATCAATAGCTCTGGCCATAATTTTAATTTCTCCTTTATAATCATTATCGATAACTCCAGGGAGGACTTGTAAGCCTCTCATGGTGACACTACTTCTTCCCAAAAGCAGCCCAAGAGTGTTAGGTGGTAAAGGTCCATATATTCCAGTATTTAAGGTCTGTGGTCCCATTTCAGGTGTTAGTACTGTGTGGGAGGTGGAACTGAGGTCTAGTCCTGCACTTCCTGGGGTTGCTCTACTAAGTTTTGAAATGGATTGCTGCTGCTGGCTGGAACAAAGCTGACTGCCCCATATGCTTGTTTCGGGGCCTGAGGCTGGCCCCTCATCCCGTTTCCCTGCCTAGGGGATAAAGGATTTCCTTGACTGTCAGTTTTAGATTTACATTCGTTTGCCCAGTGCCTTTCTCTTTTACACCTTGGGCAAAGGCCTGGAATTTTTGCTTCTGGATTTTTATTTTGGTTTTCATGGCAATCTTTTGCAAAGTGTCCCCTTTTGCCGCATCTAAAACATCCCCCTTTATCTCTACCTTTGTTAATGAGGAAGTCTCTTACTGTTTGGCCGCTAAAAGCGGCGGCCATTGCTAGGCCTTGTTGATATGAGGGCCCAATATCTGAACAAAGGCGAATGTATCCTGTTAAATCTGTTTTCTTTCGATAAGGTCTGATTGCCGCTTGGCAGGCGGGGTTAGCGTTTTCATAAGCTAACTGTTTAACATAATCTACACCCGTTTCTGCATTTCCAAAGATTCTACCTGCCGTGGTCATAAGTCTATGCACAAAGTCTGAAAATGGCTCATCGGGTCCTTGTTTAACCGCTGTGAGCGAGGCCCCTGGATCTCCTTTAACGGGAAGTTTTCTCCAGGCTTTTGTAGCGGCAGCCTGGATTTGTGAGAACAGTCCAGGATCATATTGCATTTGGGCCTGAGTGTCTGCATAATTACCTAAACCAGTTAACATATCAAAATCCCAACCGTTTCCTGCCTGTTGATTTCTTTTAGCCATGTCTCTACAATTTTCAAAGAACTCTGACTTCCAAATTAAATGGTCTCCCCCAGAAAGGACTGCCCTAAGGTATTCCAGTCTGTAGGAGTGAGCCAATTCTCAGCTACAGATTCCACTATAGCAAGAGTATATGGAGCAGTAGCCCCATACTGAGAGGCAGCAGTCTTTAACTCTTTTATAATAGTAAAGTCAAATCCAGTATGATGCCTCCAAGCCTGTCCCCGTTCATCTATGGTTTCAGTGACCGGAAAAACGTCTTTGGGGGAGGAGTCTTCTCTATGTCGGCTAGCAACTAACCCCCCTTTTGGAACATGTTGTCCAGGCCGCTGAGGTGGGCGCAAGGAACCCTCCATAGTGTCTGAGTTGGGTATCTTTTCATTTCCTGTCTTTAGCTTTTGGAGCCTAATTATCAATGATTGATGTAACTCTTCAAGTTTAATTTGTTCCTCTAGTTGAGCAATTTTTTGTTTTAATTCTTCTTTGGGATCTATTGCTGCCATAACAATGGGCGCAGAAGCCTCATTATGTGTCTTATTATATGGGGGCGGGTATGAAGTAAAGGGAGGCAAATCAGGGTTGTGATATTTAGCCGCCTCTTCCTCTAAATCATCCCAATTTATGTCTGATTGATTAGGCTTATTAATTTCCTCCTCTTTTTGAAGCATCTGTAAAATTGGGTATTTTTTTGGTTTGTTTTCGTGTGGCATTTCTTTATCTGTTACAGAAGGAGACTTGATTTCCTCATGATCACTTTCGAGGGAAATGAGATCCTCCTCCGTATCTTGCGGAGGCTTTGTAAGGTTAGAGCGGGAGCTAACCTTTAAAATATGCTCTGTCTGAGCGACCGCAGCCATGACTTGCGGATCGGCCTCCTTCTTATCTATTAAATCTCTAATGAGGTTCCAATAAGAGAAGGCAGTCTCAGGAATTTTTTTTGGCCCAAAAGTATTATAATAGTCCTGAAGACAATCCCCTACTCTACGCCATCTTTTAATATCAATAGTTCCTTCCTGTGGGAACCAAGGGCAAGTGTCTTTTACAAAATCAAAAAATTTAAACAAATCATTACCTTTAACCTTTACTCCTCGTATCTTTAAAGCCTCTTTTAATTGTCCTACATAGATCTGATGTTGGCTTAATTCTTGTCCCATTTCGGACGCGTCACTTACCTTCGATTCTGATGCGGCAGGTTCCCGCGGTGATCGGAAGAGTTCACTTTCTTTTGTCTTCGTTAGCGGTCGACCGTCCTTTGGCGTCCTCTTCCTCACGGAGTCACTCGTTTCCAGGTCCCTGTTCGGGCGCCACGTATCCCGGCCCGCGGGATCGTGGGCTGATCCACAGGCGGGATACCGATCTTATGTTGGATGCAATTTGTAGATACAGGGATGCGACCCAAAGAAACCGGCAGAGATTACATCATCACGGTTGCAAAGGCAGCTGCAGGTGGCTGATCCGTAAGCGATGTGCATACCTAGAAGCCAGGCCTACAGATGCATCAAGCATGAGCGGTGGAGCCACGGTGTGGACTGGAGTTCTGCTCCTGTGCGTTCCCCGATACATGGCTTATATTACCTGCACCTCCAGTTTTCCTGGGCAAAAAGCGGGGCGTGTTGCCGGTGCGTTGGCACCTGCCTTCAAGTGCCAGCTACTCAGCGGAGCGAGGAAAGAAGTTCCTACTAGAAGACAGACCATGTTTGATTTACAGTAGCAAAGACCTTGGAACCAACTCGAATGCCCATCAGCGATATAGGCTGGATAAAGGAAAACAATGGATGGGGTCTGGCTCCGTCACCCAGGCTGGAGTGCAGCGGTGCAGTCACTGCTCAGTGCAGCATCCACCTCCCAGCCTCCATCCATCCTCCTGCCTCAGCCTCCGGAATAGCTGGGGTGCAGATACGCCCCAGCCCGAACAGGGTTTCACTAGGTTGTCTGGGCTCTTTCTTTGTGTGTGTGTGTGTGTGTGTGTGTGTGTGTGTGTGTGTGTCTTTGTTTGTTTGTTTGTTTGTTTGTTTGTTTCGAGACGGGGCTCCGGCTCTGCAGCCGGGGCTGCAGTGCAATGGCGTGATCTCACCTCACCTCACCTCACCTCACTGCGGCCTTCTGGGCTCCGGCGATCCTCCCAGTGTGCCCGGCCTGAAGACAGCCTTCAGAGAAAGAAGCAGGGGGAGTTTTGCGGAGGACAGACAAGATTTCTGGAGTTTGGAAAGGGTGAGAGATTGGGTCAGCAAAAGGAACATTCCGATCTTTATGTTGGGATGCAATTTCAGCAAAAGAACATTCCGATCTTTATGTTGGGATGCACTTATAGATACAGGGATGCGACCCAAAAGAGCCGGCAGAGATTTGTCATCACGGGGTTGCAAGGCAACTGCCGGTGGCTGATCCCGTAAACGGCGCATACCTAGAACGGAGCCTACAGATGCATCAAGAAGGAACGGAGCCACGATGCTTGACCGGAGTTCTGCTCTGTGTGTTCCCGATACATGGCTTATATTGCTTCCGTACCTCAGTTTTTCCTGGGCAAAACGAAGCGTGTTGCCGGGCGCGCGCTGGCACCTGCCTTCAAGTGCCAGCTACTCAGCGGGCCGAAGAGGAAGAAGTTCCTACTAGAAAGACACATGGACACGCATGTTGATTTACAGTAGCAAAGACTTGGAACCAACTCGAATGCCCATCAGCGATAGGCTGGATAAGGAAAACGTGGCACGTATACACCATGGAATTACTAGCAGCCATAAAAAGGATGAGTTCATGTCCTTCATTCTCAGCAGACTGGACAGGAACCGAAACCCAAACACCGCACGTTCTCACTCCTAAGTGGGAGTTGAACGGTGAGAACACATGGACAGCAGTGAGGGGAACATCACACACCCACCCTGGCGGGGCGTGGGGTGCAAGGAGAGAGAGCATTAGAACAAATACCTGTAACGCATGCAGGGCTTCAAACCTGATGACTGCTGATAGGTGCAGCAAAGCACCGTGGCACACGTATACTCATGTTCCAAACGTGCACGTCCTGTACATGTACCCCAGAACTTGGGGGACGGAGGGGGAAACCAAAAAGGAGGGGGAGACAGAGACAGAGAGAGACAGAGAGAGACAGAGAGAGGGAAGGAAGAAAGGAAGGAAGGAAGGAAGGAAGGAAGGAAGGAAGGAAGGAAGGAAGCAGGCAGGCAGGCAGGCAGGCAGGCAGGCAGTGAGTCTCGCCAGTTCCGGGTGATCCCATTCCCCTTAAAAGGTCACCACCACTGACTGCTGTTGAGATCTAACGACTTCAAAAGGAGTAGTCGGTCGGCTGCGGGGGGTCGGGTCGTAGGCTTCCCAAAGCGCTGCAGTCACGGCGTAAACGGAAGCGTGCCGCAAGGCCTACCGTCTGCCGGCCGCAGGTCAGAAACCCCATGGTACTCCAACGAGCAGGTAACCCGGCAAGCCGGCGTAGCACACATGCTTCGGCGTGCAAGCCGTCCCGCCCATTCGCTCTCTTTCTCTCCTCTACTTTTCTTAGCAAACGCGTTGTATCCCCAGAGGGGGTGCACCGTTCCTGGAAGTACTGCAATACCAGGTCGATGCGTGGAGTGGACGGAGCAAGCTCCTATTCCATCTCCCTTGCCCAAAATCCATTTAATATATTGTCCCTTTGATAGAGGACGTATCAGATATTAAACTGATAAGAACAGATATCACACTTGATTCTAGCCAAAAGGCCGAGAAGCGATGCCGTCGCCTTCGCGCCCGCCGTCACCGTCCCACTCTCATCCACATTCAAGTCGCGGTGAGAGCCCCACTCTCGCCCTTGCCCCATCCCCTCTGTCTCTTCCACCCCACCATGGACGCCGTTAGCAATACTCGGGCTCATTTCTTATTCTCCACCTTTGAAAAGGGAAATCTTACACCCGTGCTTGGATCCGGCGTTCCCCGGCTTTCATTACAAATTTGCATACCTCGCCCTTTCACGGAGGGCGCGGCCTCCAGTGGTTGACTCTGCCCCCGGGGCCGCCTCGCCTGGGGAGCCGGGCTCCGCTGGGGGCGACTTCCTGGTTTCTATCCAGCCGGCGCGAAGACAGAACCGAAGGAGACTGGGGGCGAAGGCGACAGGGGTCTGTGGAAGAGAGCGCTCGGCGGAGAGCGGTCCACGTTTTCCTGGAGAAAGACGAGGTCCCAGGGCAGGAGCCCGGGTGGCGCCGGGCCTTTACTTCGTCACCGGCGGGCGGGGGAGATTCGGCCTCTACCTGCCGGACGGGGCCCATTCAGGAAGGACGCTGACGTGGGCCATTCAGGGAGTCAGGAAGCCGGGGGCGTCTGGCGGGGCTTCGGGAGCAGGGGCTGGAGTCCTCTTGCCGGGCAGGAGGCTGACACTGTGACACCCGGCAGAGGGAGGCGGCGCGTGGATGGCGAGGGCCCGGCAAGGATTCTCCCCAGCCCTGTGCCTGCCTCTCCTGTGGCTTCTGGGTGCACGGACTGTGTCCCAGCTGTGCAGGGAAAGCTGCCTCTGCTCGACGTGGATTCCTTTCACACTCTCCTCCTCGGCCTGGCTACTCCTGACGCAGGTTGTCAGGACTCCGCTTGGCTGTCACCCGTCCAGGAAGCCTCCCTTAATTAAGGGCCCTGGGCACCCACCCCATATGTGACTAGCAGACCTCCTATGTATTTCGTCGCACCCCCCTTGTTTATATCAACTATTCCACTCACCACCCTTCTGGGCAACTTTATCTCCTCTGAAATCCCATCACTGAGGGCTGGGACCCCTCCTCAGTACTTATCCCTGTTTCCCGGCGCTACTCTGGTGCCTGGCGTGGTGGAAGGCGCCAGCAAACGCCAGGAGCGGTTAAAACGACGCAAACGCATGAGAGCGCCGACAGCCCAAACAGAGAAGACGCAGTTAGAGGTTATTGCCCCGCGCTGGGGTATATAGGGGGAAGGTCGGGCTCGGGGTGGCAGGACACCAGAGGGCAGGGGGTGACTGCCGGGTGCTCTTGGGCGGGAGGATGGGCGTCAAGGTCCCCGGCAAGGCTGCGACAGTGCTCTCCGAGGCACAGACTGCCGCGCCCGCGGGTCAGCATGTACCTCTCCCTTCCTCCTTCCTAACCCAGCTTCGGCGGAGAGCTGAGGGCTGAGGGCTTTAGGCGCATTACCTCCAACATTTATTTCACTCGAGGGCCCAAGGCCGTAAGAGGTGGGCCTTGACACAGGGCCACGGCCCCGGGTTAGGGCGTGAGGCCTGAACTCCTCCAGGGCGGAACTCTGCAGGTGCCTCCCGCCCCCAAACTCCTTCGCAATCAACACAAACTATAGTTCAATGCAATATATTCACCTTGTGGGCGGTGTCACCAGGGCCGAGGCAAGAGACTGAAGGCACAAGCTGTTCCAGTATAGTAAAGAAAATAATCAGAATAAGAAAAGTTATACCAGAAATAGGATACAGATATGATTGTAGATGACTATTACTAATCATTAGTCTGCAGCGTTACTCTTGGTTCTATTACTGTAAGAATCTCTGTTCTGTTGTTTTAACCTAGGGAAACCGGGCCGTAGAGAGTTAGCAGTCAGGAGGGACACGGTGGAGAGGTGACTCAGAAGACAAGAGGTGAGCCCTCGGTCACGCCCGGATAAGGGCCGCCCAGGGCTCCTGGTCTAGCGGTAACGCTCAGTGCCTGGGAAGGCTCTCAGCATTTAACAGACTCCTGGTCTAGCGGTAGCGCCAGTGCCCGGGAAGGCACCCGTAACTTAGCACACCGGGAAAGGGAATCTCCTTCTCCAGGAGATGGAGAACACTCTGCTCCAGCACTCCTTGTGGGAGGCCTGACATTAGCCAGGGGCTGCCTCCTCAGTCATCCGGAGGCTGGACCGCCTCCTGGGATGCTGTGCTTCATTCAGTGGTCACGCTCCTTGTTCACTTTCACGTTCCGCCTGTACACCTGGCTCCTCCTTTTAAGTTCTTAGAAGATAGCAGTAGCAGACTTAGTAAAAGTACTAAAGTCTTTGATCCTTCTGATAAGTGCGTAGAAGAAATGCTGACGTATGCCGTCCTCCCTCTCCGCCTCGGCTATCACAAAGGGAAAGACCCCCTGTCCAGTGGACACGTTGACTCGCGTGATCTCTCAATCATTTGAGATGACTCACACCCTTACTCCTGCCTCTTGCCTCGAATACAATAAATAGCAGCCCGTCCAGGCATTCGGGGCCACTACCGGGTCTCCGCTGGGCTTCAGGGCAGTGGTCCCCGGGCCCAGCTGTCTTTCATCCTGCCTCTGCGTCTTGTGTCTTTATTTCTACGAGACCCTCGCCTCCGCACACGAAGAGAAACCCACAGGCCCCGTAGGGCTGACCTCATATCTGGCACCCAACGAGGATGTCTCTCTCGCTGTGTGAAGGTGCACTTTGAGCGCTGAACTCAGCGGAGGACTAATGATTTACAGATTCCTGAGGCTTGCGTCAATAAGCTTGGTGGTAAGCTTGGGCCTCAGAGTATCCGGGACACCATATGCATATATCGTACCAAGTACTGCTATTTTTAAATGTTATAAAAAACTCTGCTTAAAGAAGGAGGTGTAAAACTTTCACACAAGTGAATTAAACCAGTTCGAGGTCGTAGATCTCCTTTACCCTTGGTTTGCTACTGAGGGAACTTCAGAACTCAAACGTTGGGATGAAATCACGACAATTTGGCAAATTGCTCATAAAGGGGGACATGTTATTCCCACCCACCATTTGGCCAATCTGGGCTTCGGCTCCGCTCTGTCCTAGACTCCTTGCAGACTCGGTAGACAACGTGGGAGGCTGATCCTCTTTCTGCCTCCCCTTCTGAGGAGGATGAGGAAATTCCTCAGCTCTTTCTTCTGAGGATACTGCATGATTGAGGCCGTGATTCTACAGACGGACTCTCCATTCTGACATTCCTTGGGCCCCGCCGCCTACTACCTCAGAGCCTGCCGTGCCCCCATCATCACTTTACCATGAACTTTCAAATGATGTCCTTTGCCCCCCAACCAGCAGAATCCAACCGAAATATACTATCCACATTGCCGTGGCCGGACCTCCATCTTTCCTCAGCTCCAAGTTACAGGGCCTCCACCTTCCAGCTACACAGCCCGGAAAGGAGGCTATACAGCCTGAAAAAGAGGCTCTAAACTACGTTTCTATGCAGCCTGGTACGCAGGCTCTCAATTCTCAGCCCGCCAGTGAGGCTTCTCAACACTGTCTCTGCCTGTGCTCCTGCCGCAGGGCCTCCACCTCCGCCCCGTCTCCGGCCCCGGTAACCTCGGCAACGCAGGGCCTCGACCCTATCCCTACCAACCTGGTTATCCGCTCCTCACGCCTGCTTCTCCTTCTCGGGAGTAACAGGCTCGCTTGAAGCCTGTCCTGCAGTTGGTCACTGGCAGCCTGACTTCAGGCTCCCTGAAAGACCTTGCTCAGCAGGTACTCGCGCCTCCACCTGGCTTACAGGTTCTCAATTCTTCCTCTATTCCAAACCCTCATTTCTTTTCTGCTTCTGGTCCGCCGCCACTGCCGCTAAGCCGCCACCACCAAGGGCTTCGCCACGAGCAACAAATCACATACATTCCTTAAAATGATACTCCTTTTATGAGGGCCATTCCCTCAGGCAAGGGAATATGGGGATCCCGAAGCCTGCAATTTCCTGTAATTTTACAACCTCGATGCCTGCCGCTCCGTCTCCCTGGGAGGCGCAGGATCAGCCAGCCCGCTGATCCTGCCGCCCAGCAGGTGGCTGAGCCTCGCGGCTCCTCAGGCTCCTTCAAGCTCCGCAGCCTGACGGTCAGGCTCTCAGGCAGGCAGATCAGCAGGCCTACAACCAAGCCTGCGGCGCAGCCAGTTCCAGGTACACCTGCAGTCCAGGCAGTAGTCCAACCAGATCGTCTTCATCCAGGCCAGGTCCAGCTACGCCTGCTTCTTGGGGAGAGAGTTTTTCTTCTAAATTCCTCAAAGATTTCAAAGAATCAGTGAAGCAATACGGCACCAACTCCCCTTGTCCGGGTCCACATTAAAAGCTCTCGCAGAAGATAAACAGCAGTTTGGTGCCTTGTGATTGGTAAATTCTAGCAAAATCAGTACTATCTAAATCCCAGTATTTACAATTCAGGACTTGGTGGGTCGATGCTGTCCAGGATCGAGTTCAGCTTAATCGAGGCTCTAATCCTCCTGTTAATGTTGTGCAGCTGACCAGTTATTGGGAATGGACAAATGGCCTGCAACTACAAATCAAACTATACTAAATGATGAGGTCATTCAACAAAGCCAGAAATGCTGCCTGTATACTAATAATAGCGCACTTATACCAGTCCCTAACGATGACAGGTTTCCGCCAACCAGAGGAAAAGGGTATGCAGTTTAATTTGTCAATTGATATAAATTCTCGCCTACTGTGCGTAGCAATGTCACCTGGCCGCTTGGCTTTCTCTAATCAAAATCGATGTGGACCGTACTATCCTCTAGTAATGATTCTTATGAAGTACATAACGTGTCTAGTAGTAATTCTTTCAGATCATGGCTGTTGAACTTAATCCTCATGAGGAATGGAGAGTTCCCGGGCCACCAAAAATAATACAACAAAAGGACTGCCAGACTGTTCAAGAGAACCTACCAAGGGAACTTGTTTAGTGAACTCAATTATATGGAATGACTGTAATGCTCCAAAAGCCGCACGTAGTGTTACGGGGTTTGAAGTTACAGGAGCTGTTATTGACTGTTTCCAAGAGGG